ACTTACGCAATATAATTTTGAAATTGTAGATTTAATATCCAAAATTTTGGGGTTGTTTAATTTATTGCATCCAAATCATGGCTCATTTTTATGACTATAACTTTTTAAACTTTTTGTATTAGTTAACATTACAAAAAGTAGTCATCTTTTAGAAAAATTTATCGTCCATAAATCAATTATGAAAAATGACAACTTTTTAATTTGTCATAGGAAACAAACGTCTTCTTACACGTTGCAAAATTTCATCATGAAAAAGTAATTAAATCTAAAAATCAATCCCGTAGCAAAAGTTGATATATATAGCATTAGCCAGTTATCGAAACATTATCTTGGAGGGTTCGGTCTCGATAGGTTGTAGTAAGAACTGTTAATTTTTTAATACAGATAAGTCATATTGGGTTAACTAGTCGATATTTTTTAAATAACTAATTTAGTAATTACGTTCATTATACTGTATATAATCTTTTTGAATAAAACGATTCATAAGGTATTTATTTGAATACATTTTTGAAGACTTTTGACCCGTTTCATAAGGTATATATAATCTTTGCAAGGTTTTAAAACGTATCCATTGGAGATCAAACACAACTCAAATATATGTAATTTTATTAATGAGACGTATAATTGTTTGGTCTCATAATTCATTCAATTATACCAAACAAATGTATGTCCTATATAAATGTGTTACAATTAATTTAGAAAATTATGTGTTTTATTAATAAAAATTTATTTGGTAAAAATAGCCTAATATAGTTAATATTGTTTAGTCTATAATGAAAAAAAGAATTCAAATAGTACTCAATAACTTGCACTTGAATAATGTTAGTGATAGAAATCGAGCTAATAAGAAACTAAAACTATGATGACCTAAAATATGTAACAACGAATTGTATAAAAAATATTTAATTATTTTATCATAAACAATAACAAAATAATATAATTTTATTTATATATTAATTTATTTATCAAAAAATATATAGTATGATTAAATCAAAAATGTTAAAATACCAAAAAAGATATTTAATAAACTAAAAAAAAAAAGAAATATTTAAAAAGACTAAAATACTCCTAAGTTAAATGTAGGATTTTTAATAGATTTTGTTTCAAAGATGAAAACAACAATAAATTACAAACCGCAAGAATAAAAATCAAAATTTTAAAACCCCAAGAATAAAAATCATAATCTTTCACAAACCACATGAACAAAAATTGTAGTTTATTCAATAATTTAATAAAGTGTACCAAATATAGTATGTGGTTATATTATACTTTTAGAACCTATATAAGATTATGCATTCTTGTAAATCATCTTGTTTTTTCTTGGATCGTTTATCAAATGTTTATCAAGTAAGTGTTTACTTGTAAAAGCATCACTTTCACTTACCTTATCAGGTAAGATTCTCGGGCATCGAAATGGATCATGGCAAAACGTTTTTTACCCGATAAGCACTTACAGGGTAAGAGTCTCATCTCTCACTTATTGGGTAAGATTTTCATACTCAGTTGGAAAGTAAATAATATGTAATAAGCATTTTTCAAATAAGTATTTGATAAAGGAATCATTATTGATTTGATAACATTACAACTTTTCGAAAACTCATAAATGAAGTGAATGTGAACCCCAACCATTTGTGTGTCAAATAGCCTCCTTATTTTGTGCCAACATATATTTTTTATTCAAGTGTACCTAAGAAATGTTACATGTTTTATTTTTAATTAAAAATTTATTTTTTCAACAATTTCTTCTGTAAATTAAAAAAAAAGTAAAAATGGTGTTGATGACAAATAAATTTTTTTCTTTGTAAAACGACGTCATTTGGTAAGATTAAAAAGCATAAAAACATAGAAAATGTTTTTTTCCTGCCGACAATTATGAAAATAATAATAAAAAAAACAAAATATGAAAATAATAATTTATGGTTAAAGAAAGAATGGAGAAAAGATTCGGTGGGTGGAGTTTCTTTCTCGATGGGATTTATTAAATATTATGAAATAATTGAATTATATACATGAAAATCCAACCAAATTTCACATCAAACTCATTATTTTCAAATTAAAAATGAATTATTGGAAAAAATAAAATCAAAAAGATTGAATTACGAAAGGGACAAAAACGTCATTGGATTGATGGTAGGTGTGTATTCAGAGTAAAAGCAACGACCAATAACCACCATTAACGGCAGGATCATTGGGAAATACTTTAATATTTTTTTAATTAAAATTAATATTTACTTTTTATTTTCTCTATCAAACAAATTCAAAAACAGTATGGACGGCAGACCAGCTTTTTTAACCGATTAATTTGACTAAAAAACATGTTTGGGTAAAATCCATTTTCATTTTTTATTTGAATTTAGAGGCCGTTTACCAAATGCTTACTTGAGTAAGTGTTTACCAAGTTACATTATCTTACCGGATAAATATGGCAAGCACTAAGAATCTTACTCGGTAAGAGCGAGGCAAGGACTGAAAGTCTTATCCAGTAATTGATTACGACAACTCTTACAACGGTTAGTGTTTACCGGGTAAGTTGTTACATACGATGTCGTTTTGGTAGCTTAAAATCTTACTGGTAAGTAAGCGATAGTGTTGAATTTTACCATTAAACGCTTACCGGGTAAGTGTTAAGGTAAACGGCCCCTTAGAAAGCATGTAACAAATGTTAACAAGATAAAAGTACGATTTAGGTTAGCATTAATCACTCATTGAGTAGAATCCTTCATTTAGCTTACTAGTTCAACAATAGTGATTAAGTAGAATCCTTCATTTAGCTTATTAGGTCAACAATTGTTGAAAAAAAAATTAAAAAACGAAATTAAACCTGACAATAATTTTACCACATAATTATCAAACTGGTAATGCTAAGTGACAAGATCGCTTTTTTAGGACAATTTCAGCGGTTTACGAATTATGCTGGAATTTGAAGCACGATGTCCCCCAGGACAAAATAACTCACTTTCGGTTAGACTGTACAGACTATTTGGTATCTCTCTAAATTGTATTTTTGATTTATGTTGCTCAAGAAAATGAAAACCTCAAAAATTTTCACTATTTTTATCTTTGCAAAATTTATGTGTATATACTAAAGATGAGGATAACCACAAGGGTGGTGCGTGATTGGTTTGAGTTTGGCTCCAAAGGTCAAAAGTACCAAGAGGTCTCAGGTTCAAATCCAATGAGGAATAAAAATCGCATTGTGGCCACGGAGGTTCAAATATGGTGACTCCGGGCTATCTGCAAAGCAGGTGGTCGCCCTGGGATTAGTCAGTTCGTATAGCAGGTTGGATATCCAGGTTAATAAAAAAAAGATGAAGATAACCTCTTCATGAGTTCAACCATAGCTGCAGAAATATCAGTCCATACAGTTTTCTAATTAAACATAAATTAAAAATGTTTTTAAATTCATTTGAAGATATCAAAAACATTTATGTTGAAAAAGTAAAAATTTGGAAGAAAAAAACTCATTTTTTTCAAAGACTCGAAGGCATAAAACCCAGTCAAATATTATAAACGTGTAAAGATGTCTGAGTGTCTTCCTCATAAATCGATCACGCGACCTCTTTGTTGCAACCAAACAAGTTATCGACAAACTAAATTGTCTGGGAATTTTACTTTTAAATATAACAAACTTTGCAAATATGGACTGGTAAGATGAACTTGATAAACAACAGTATCTTTGATAGGGTAAGCGTCTCTTACCCAGTAAGAGGCGGTAAGCAGGTAGTAAACAGCCCTTTGGTTCATAATTAATGTAACAATGACTTTTTTCTTGAATTATTGTAATAAACGTACAATTCTATATTATTTAGTACACATTTTGAACCGTAACAGGTAGCTTTTGTAATTGATGATATAGATATCAAGTAGGAATTTCAAATAAGAAGGCTAAATATCATGAGAAGCTTAACAAAAGGTTCATATGTGAATCATCAAAAAATTTTCATTTGAAGATGAATATGTGAACTTATATAAATAATCTATAATTTTGATTCACATATGCATCTTCAAATAGATTTTTTTGAAAAAATTCACATTATCTTCCACGATATTTAGCCTTCTTATTTGAACTGACGTCTTGATATCAATTTATCAAACTATATCGAAGCAATTCGGCTGTTTTGACTGAGACATGAGTAATTGGCCGATGGATTCGAAATTTTGTAGCCATTTACCCTAGATCTTTTTACAGTTTGTAGTGCCATATATATAATGTTTTCCTTAAACAATAAATGATTCTATGTGAAAATCGAAACCAAAGATTAAAAATCTGACCCAAAAGGTCACATCAGCCTGTTTGCTTTGAAGTTTCGTCAAACCAGTTTGATCAATATGTTTCAAATAAGATTTACCAAATCAAGCCATAATAAAAGGAACATGTTTGGAATTGAATTTGTGCCTTGACCAATTATAACGAAGAAAGTACGTCATTCAAATTTTGACATCAAATCTAGATAAACTTTGGTGTTGGTCTCCAAAACATATTCCGACTCCATGGTTAAAACCTGCAATATATCTAGATTTAGTTCAATCATATGTCTTGTCTCCGAATTGAATAAAAACTTTAGATATCTAGTTATTCTCTTCCGTCCGTTCAACATTTAATCACTTGCAACTTAACGATGACTTCTTGATAATCGCATCTTCTATTGTTTTTGACTATGATGAGCTTCCCATCTAACATATACGAACGTCATCCTCGACACGAAACATGTCTTGAAATACAGGTTAATTCACGATAAATATAAGATGAAGCAGCAGAATACTAAACATATGAGTTAACAAGAAAAACAGTTATATGTACAGAAATTATCTTTTAACCTGTCTGTAGTTGTTGTCTTGTCATCCCGATCTATAAAAATAAGAAATATTAAACAATGAAAATGGGGTTAGATTTTGGAGGATTTAAGAACATGGCAAACGTGGAGTTGAAAGCAACAAGGGTCACAAAATCCCTCTATATAAACCCTAGCCTTAAAAAGCAAGAATTAGGTACACTTAGTGGCAGAGCACCCCAATCCCAATAGCAATGGCTAGAACACATTTATTCCTTTTTTGTCTTCTAACTTTCTTCACATTGTCTTCTGCCACAAGACCACGACACTTCAACATATCCACCGTCGCCACCCACTGGTCCACCGCTTCCGCCACCTGGTACGGCAGTCCTGATGGTGCCGGAAGTGATGGTATGAACATAACATTACTAAAATCTTTAATGTCAGCTTAACCGGTAAATGAAAAACTAGGTTTTAGGGATATTCATCGCTAGTTTGAATAGAGATTTTCCTGACCGTTATTTTTGCATTAAAATACCATCATTTTACATTAATGTATCCGTTTGTCGTTTAATGACTCAACTAACTTAATCGAAGGTTTAGTTTGGTTTGGTGGTATTTGATGAGACATTTTTCGTGTTTGGTTAGTTCCATATTTGCCCTTTGTTGTGTTTGTTGCATTTTGATATGTTACAATGTTAATGCAAGGCTAATTTGGTAAATAATGCAGGAGGTTCATGTGGGTATGGAAATGCAGTGTCACAAGCACCATTTTCTTCCATGGTGACTGGAATTGGTCCATCTCTTTACCATGCAGGGAGAGAATGTGGGGCCTGTTATGAGGTAAGTAGGCCAATGGACACCATATTTAAAAATGGTTTATTTTAGGTTTTAATAAAAAGGATATAATATTTAAAAAATAAAAAATTCAAAAATAGGTTACAAGTCCAACCTTGTCTACTGAATTGTTTTAGTTTCTTATGATTGATGCTTGAAACAACTATTTGTTGTTATATAGGTAAAATGTACCAATGATCCATCTTGTTCAAGAAAACCGGTTAGGGTTGTCATTACTGATTTTTGCCCCGGAGGCGTTTGTGCCTCTGACCATGCTCATTTTGATCTTAGTGGAACTGCATTTGGTGCTATGGCAAAACCGGGCCAAGAAAAACATTTACGTGATGCTGGAGTTTTGAAAATTCGATTTGCACGGTAATTTTATTTATGACCCTTAAAAAACCCGAAGATAATCATACAGTATTGGTTGTTTTCTATCATTTTTTTTATTCTTTTAATTGTTTTATGTGATTTACAGGGTTGAATGTGATTATTCAAGAACAAATATAATGTTCCATGTAGACCAGGGATCGAACCCTAATTACTTTGCGACCGTGATCGAATTTGAAGAAGGGGACGGAGATCTAGCAGGAGTGAGTTTGAAAGAAAAAAATAGTAACAAATGGTTGAAAATGGTGCAATCTTGGGGTGCAGTTTGGAAAATCGACCCTGGGAGGGAGCTACACCCTCCATTTTCGCTACGATTGATATCACAGTATTCCGAGAAGATCTTGGTGGCAAAAGATGTGATTCCGAGCGGATGGACGCCAGGTGCCACATATAGGTCTATGGTCAACTATCTCTAAAGAGGTTGTTTGAGGACATATCAGATCTTTCATTTATCATTTTGAAATTTCACGCAAGAATTAAGAAAGAGGTGGCATAAGAAGAGTCACATATCTGAATTCACAATAATTGTGAAATACAGTTGACCGCTAGGTCACCCTTTTTAGATTGAAGAATCATGTAGTATGTATGTACCAAAATGGCATCAAGTATTACAAAATACTGAGATGGGCATATTTTAATGTTTTTGTCAAGTTAAATGTATTGTCTTTTGTATTTCCATCATAAAAATCAATAATAACAGTGTGTCTTTAATTTATTAAACCTATAACTTATAACGACAACAATGCTATATACGAGGTTTAACTAAATCAGAGATGTACATGTAAATCTTGTCGTTAACCCTCAAAACGCTCCAAGCCCTAATAATATAAATAAACTGTCATAAGTTCTTTGATTTTAAGGGCCTGTTTGTTTTTTTGGTATTAAGAGCTTAATACCTCTAAAGTCTGATTTGATCAGACATTTGTGATATTAAGAACGTTTTTTTGTTCAAATAAGAGCTTATTCCTTTGTGTTTCCTCTGAAAAATTAAGTGGTAACTATTTCTCTTAATACCTCTTAAACTCTCTCGATCTCTCACAGTCGCCACTACATCTCACGCCTCCAGCTCTCTCACAGTCGCTCATCTCTCGATCTCTATCTCTCACAGTCGCTCATCTCACAATCGCTCATCTCTCGATCTCGATCTCTCACAGTCGCTCTCGATCTCCAGCATAGCTGAATCTCACAATCGCTCATCTCACAGTGGCTCTCGATCTCCAGCTCTCTCATACAACCAATCCCCAAGTTGCTCAATCTCACAGCAATTGGTCTCTCACAGCTTTCGATCTCGATCTGCTAACCTAAAATCTTTAAAAGATATTTCGATTTCTACCTCCTGCTTTATATATATATATACATGAATGTGTGTTCTTCTTTACTAGTTTTGATGGTCTTCACCCATCTTTGTTCTATCTACTAGTGAGAACCATCTTACATTTGTTCAATAATTTGTTTTGTCTTCACCCAAAATCTTGTTTAAGTTTGAATGAGATATAGATGTGGTCATACATAGTGGTGGATTCAAATTTTGGAACTCCAGGAGCAATTACCGTCGCCTAATAAGCATAAAAAGAGTTCTTTTTGGAGAGTATCACCGTTGAAGGATTTGCAAGTGGTCATGTTTACTTTCTTAGCAATTCTTGGGTTCAATCCACTAATGATCATCCTGTTTACTTCCCTTGTAATTATAGAGCGAAAGATGTACAAAATTTGAGTTGAATTTTTTTGTTCTGATGTTACTTTTGGGTTTTTCGTCTTCTGGTTTCATGATCAATAAGTGGTTCGGAATTCTGATTACATGATTTGGGTTGTTCCAAAGATTGTAGTTTGTTTATTGATTTGTGGATTCATAATCAACTAGTGGTTTATGTATTGTTTGTGATATTTGTATGTGTGTGTATATATGTATATATATATATATATAATTATTTTAATAAAATAAAAAAATTAACAGTATAATTGATTCAGATTTAAGATTTTAGACGTAAAAAACAAACAGTCTGACTGATTCAGATTTTATATTTTAGCACCACTATTTATAAATCAGAAGTGAAATCAGACTTCAGATTTCAGCACGTCTTAACAAACAAACACCATCTAAATATATAAAAATAAATATTATATTTGTTTTAACGACAAGTAATATGGATGTTCTCTATAAGAGAGGAGACCTTTGTCCATATGTCCCCTATTTAAATCAACAAAAATGAGTAAGTCAAATAAGGGAGGGCCCTTTACCCATGTTCCCCTTGTTTATTTAGTCAAGGTTCCACCTTTGGAGAATATCTCGTTTTTCTTTTTTCAAAAAGCAAGGGATGTGTCTTAATAATTAAATAAATAAATAAAAACATGTTTTAATAGAAGTCTTGTGTCATGCAAGTTGTGATTTTATATTATTTATTTATATGAATAAATATTTATTAAAATAAAATATATTTTATTGTGGTTTTTATTTTGGAACTGAATTTCAAAAAGTTCGTTGTGATGATTACAAATTTCAAACAAGAAGTTTAATAAATATTTTTGAAAATAAATTTAAAAAATCACAGACACTTAAATATACATATATATACATATATATATATATATATATAGATATTAAATTATGCTTTGAAAAATATTCTTCAAACAAAATCCTTTTAAGCATGATTTGGTCATATTTTATATTAGGCAAGTGATTCACGTTCCTAATATTATGAAAGATGTTTGATATAGAAACTATTATTTTGATTTGTTGAAATATCGTATAAAAGTAAGAGTGTTTGTTAACAGTTTAACGAGACTCATAGCTTATTCGATAATATACACATGACATGAATATTTTATAGTGGCTTAATGATATTGGAAGTGACTTACTCGGTAAACATTTGGGGGAGTTTTATGTATAAATTCAAAAAAATTCCAAATCTATCCTTTCCAAATTAAATAATGTTCTTTTCCGTCTATGAAAAAACCCTTCTCAATCTATATAGATACATTATTTCATACAATCAGCTTTATCCATAAATTACTTAATGAAAAAACAACCAAACAACCCCTAAATTATACCAATTGTCCTCGTGTTTTTAGTAAACTCAAAATTATTCACCAGTTGTGTTTAAATTGGGTAAATTCCATTTTCGTCCCTATGGTTTGTTGAAAATTGTTATTTCCATCTTGTACTTTTGAAATTATGATTTGCATTCTTGCGGTTTACATTTTATTGTTATTTTTGTTTATATGATTTACAGTTTGTTGTTGTTTTGTCTTTACGGATTACTATTCTTTGTCGTTTCCGTCTCTTACACTTAAAGCTAGGAGTTAGCGTAGCGGTAAAAATACATGTATGTGAAGCTCGTGTACAAGCAATTAAAACATATAGAAAAACAAGTCTTGACACAACGTCCCTCTCAGTATCCTTCTTCTCCGGCCCCTCCCACTCTTAGTGTGTTTGGATTTGTTTGCTTGTCTATCTGGTGGGGATGGGTGCTTTTTGCAAATTGTGTTAGTAGAGACCAAGATCTACCATTGGAGGTATGAAGGTTAACGGCTCTTGGTACACAGAGAGTGAAGAAACGATGTCTAACGAACATTTACAAAACATAGACCAAGATTTACCATTCCAAATCCAGGAACTCATTGCTTTCCAATTAGACCCCTTTGTAGCTAAAGATAGTTTTTGATTGAACTTCTAATACATATCTAGGTTATTGCCATGAGGGGATTCATGTTAGAAACCAAAACAAAGTTCAATCAATGAACGAATTGTAGAAAGCTTCTCGGTTTTGATGTTGGGTTAAGCTTATGTATTTGTTTTAATTGTAGCTTTTGGGTGCTAGGATGGATATCGATGTTTGTTGTGTTAATTGGCTGAAATCTAATGGGTTTAAGTGTAACGTGATCCAATCATCCATTGTAAATGTTGGATTTTGTCATTCTACCTAATCTAATTAACACTAGACAAACGATTCAATCCAATGAATTATCGGATCGGATTGACTCCATTCATTGATTACTACTATCGGTTATCTTGCTGATCAGGTTGATTTATCCAATATTTTGATCCAATTTTGACCAAATATATTTATTTTCTAATTTTTTTTAAAAACATTACATACAAATATCAACTAGAAAAAATATCATAAAATGTTATTAATTATATATATATATATATATATATAGGGGCCTATTCAAGGGAGAACTGAGTTGTTTGTGGTAACTGTGAGAACCAATCTCAACCACAAATCAACGGATAAACAAGGAAATTAGTAATTATGGTAGGTTGAGTTAAAATTATAATTAAAGGGCATTTTAG